AAAACAATTACAATCACCAGTTCCTCTAGCAATAACTTCTAAAAAATTTAAAGAATACCTGGAACTCAAGATGATGAGCAGAAAAAGAAAGATATAAAGAATAGAAAAATCCAGCGAGAAAAAGCAAAAGCAGAAAAGGATAAAACTATTTAAGTAAAGAAATCTTAGTAAAGAAAGTAAATACTAAGGTCAGTAAAGCTAAAGTTTGTGCTGCTGCAAAGGAAGAAACGACAGTTCAAAGTCAATTAACTAAAATCGAGAAACATAGAACTGCTACTACTAGTTTAGATGTAAGTACCGAAGAGACTGAAATGATCAATGAAAATAACAAAAGTCTGATTAGAGATAAGGATAACAACATAAGTTTTGGAGATTACGTTATGTTGTGGTTTGAGACTAATAAAAGAAATCGCTACTATGTCGGACAAGTCCTGAAAATTGACTTTGACAATGACTTCGTTAAAGTTAAATGTTTAAGGAAGGAGGCCAGCACATTTGACAATTTGACATATTTCAATGAGCCCTCCACTGCTGATTTAACAGAAGTATCGATATCAGCTGTCATAAATGTTTTACCGTCTCCCCGAATTGGAAGAAGAGGATTGATTACATTTGAAAACACTCAGTCACAACACAACAACGATCTTAATTTGTGTGAATAACTAACTACAGACTTATCTGTAGTTATTACATTACATAGGTTAATACATTTGTTTCACCCAGATTAGTGGTGTAAGTTTAATAACTTAGTTTTGCTTACAGCTGGCTCCTGCTATTGTTAAATTTATTAGTCAGGTCCAGCTATTGTTTAGTTTACTAGTGAGGTTGTGATTGTGATCTCAATTATTAGGTTCTAATTGTATTACTTCGTTGATTAATTCGACAATTGGGTAAATAATATTATACTTAAATAAAATTAGTACGGGTACTTCTTGAGACTGTGTAATATTTAGGTGTATTAATTAGTATAAATCATATTTTTTTGTTAAAAGTTGATTAGTTTATGTAACGAGTCAATTGATCTCGCAAAGACAAAAAAGATATTAATAGAAAAGAATGTGATTTTTGAATATAAAGAGGTAAAAGAATTTATTCGCAAATAATGCTTTTTATTTAGAAATTGAAAGATTAAATAAAATAGCATCCTATTTCAATCAAAATGTTAGTTCAACTATTGGGTTCTAAACGTTCATAATTAAGACACGTCGTTCAAGTATAGGGGTAAAACCACAAATTTTACACAAATAGTTATTTTATCAAAAAACTGGTAGCCTAAGGAATTATTTTCTTAAATTACTAAAATCTTGAGAATAATCTGGAATCATAAAAAATATCAGCATGCGCCAATAGTTCGAAAAGGCCGAGAAAAAGGGATTCAAAGTTGTAAAAACCTCTTAATCGTTCATTTATTGGTGCCACTACCCTAGTTATGTACGTAATTTGTGCTACCTTGTTGCTTTCGTAAGCCTGAAACATAGAAATTAATATATATGCGTCAAACAATTGTCTAAAGTCAAGTTATCCGGAACTGTGATTATTAATACTGTGATTTATCTAACTTTGTCTTTAATCTTATAGATTAAAGTCATAATCGATTAATAAATTACTTTTATGATAATTTAATGAGGTCCTGGCTGTAGTTAGTTATTATATTTTATTTAATATTTATTTCAAAAACCAGAATGAGTACAAACTATGGAAAAAATTATAAATGAATAATGTTATAAACTTTCAGGCACGCAACTTTATGACTAAAAGAAAGGAAGCGCATTTTACTCTTAATTCTCAACACAAATTTATTTATAGAAATATTTTTCTTATTAATTACAATCTTCTTTTGGTTGAATCTAATTCCTTTAAATAAGGTGCATGATACAAATAAGGCCAATGCTGAAATAAGGCCTGTAGTGCAGAAAAGTCTATTAAAATACATTTACACCAAAAATACTTTACACACGCATTGACGACAGCTCTGCAACTCGGAAAACTGAGCACGAGCGGTCCGCTGGAGCCTGGAGCTCGCAGCGTCAGTAGTGGCGGTACTTTGTGACGGACGAGCATTTCATAACGCGTTATTAATTTGCCGTAATTTTTGTCGACTTTTAATACGTTATTCTTTGAAGTTTTGTTTCATATAATGTATACGGAGCGCTAATCAAAAAGTTAACTAAGACATAAAATTGTTTTTTTTAGTATATGCGAATTCAATAATATTGTTTATAACTTTTATAAAGTATAATGTACTTAATAAACTACTACTTCCTACTTTTATAATAAGCCGTATTTTTATCAAATATATCTATCAAAATATATTCATTTCCCAATATTTAATAATATTTTTGAGAAGGTATGTAAATTTGGTTTTTTTTTTATATTATTCTTTATTTCTTGTTTATATGCGACTTCAAATCTGACTAGCAATTTAAGCAAAATATTCAATAAAATAACTTACAATATTGTTCAAGGATCCCATGGAAACACTTAAAGGCTCAGAAAAAAAATAATATATAATATTCCTATAATTAAAGTACATAGACTTTATTAAGTCACTATGTTTTTAAAAGGTTAAGGCTAAGGTCCCAGAATAAGCTCTTTTTAAGTGATTTCTGTTAAAAGGTTGTAATATGTTTTCTTAATTACTTAAAATGTATGAACCAAAGAATAATGCCTTGCTTTCATTTATCACCTTCTTCGAATAATTTATCACGATATGAGTGTTTGAAATTAGGTAGGCCTTATTTGTATCACTGACCTTATATATCTGTCAATTACGATATTCCTTTTGCCAAAATTATTATTAAATATATTTGGAACCTATCAATGGAGAAGTATATGCAAAGTTCGACATAGATTGCGCTGCAAACGCTTGACCCAAACCACAGCCGAATATTGCAGCTGTCCAATTTTTAAACGTGTTTTTTTGTAGTTAAAAAATATTAAATAAGTGGTAAAAGTGTATTCAACATGGTCTGTAATATAGCTGAAAACAGAGTTGAAAAGAAGAGGAGCATCTGTGCAAGACAGAAATGATGATCTAGTAGAAAGGCACTCCTTCTATTATAATGCTAGAATACTCATTCTCGGTACATAGATGCATTTTTCATGATTATTTTAATAGTTCATGGATCTCAGTAACTTTTAGCGGGCTCATTAGTCAAATCTATTTTATTTTTGCATCAGTCCGACATCACATAGAGTTAGGTTACCTCTGGCTAAAATGGACAGTATAATATTAGGTTTTTTTACAGACTTGAGGCATATGACCGCAACTTTAATTTCGGTGCAGTTTTTTCTGATCAAAATGCAGATGCAATCACCTGTCCCAGATACATACCATGGTGTAAACAGCAGCTCAGTTTACCCCCCCCCCCCCCCCCCTTTCAAAGCAACATATAAAATTGTATTTTAGTCGGGAAGCGTGCAGTTTTCGTGCACAACAACCAGGAATTACACAACGCGGCACTTGTAATTTGTTTAATAAAAAGCTTTAAAATGAATATAAGCTAATAGGTATGTATTTGATAGAAGTTTTGGGTCAAGCGGACACAGCGCCCCTAGTGGGAAAATTTTGCAGATTTCTTGTCCATTGGCACAACTTAAGGGTTCAAATTCCAGTATCCAAGGGTATTTATTTGTGTGTTAAGATGAGCACAAATATTTGCTCCTTACTTAATTAGTGAGCGAGTACAAACTCTGCTTTAATCTCCCACTAAATAAGTGCTGTGTGTTTATTTTGTGCAATTGTCCAACGTTTTGATTATGTTTATTTGTTTTTATTATTAGAATATTTTTATATGTATACCGTGAACATTTTCAATAAATAAATTACTTACATCAACTTTTATTTTTCACTATTAATAATAACAACAGGTCTTTGGTTTTCATCAACAGTTTTATCATAATATATTTTTATGTTGGTCTGTTATATTAGATGACAATTAATAATTTAAAAAAATGCTTAGTATTTGGTACCTTTGTTATATTAATGAATAATAATTAATCTAAAGTTAAAGAAGTCAATCATTTTTGTGCAATAAAAAAAAAACAATGTCTAGAATTGTCCGAAAGCTGAAGACAAAAACTTATTCTTAGTGCCTTTAAAGTAATCCCTTTTACTAGACTAGTATAGAATCTAAATAGTGGTAAATATACTGGATATTGAATAAGTTTTGAAACCATATGCAAAGAGCAAGCCAAAAACTGAGCAGAAAGAACAGATTGCGAAATAACATAACCAAACATAACCAACTCTATTCACGGATATTCACTTAGTTTTCCATCGATAAATCAATTATCTGTATTTCGTTACACGCTATTTAGTCTATAAAAATGTTAAATTCGTTGAACGTTAAAGCGTCACATTTCGGAAGTTACAGGTGATTTTTTAATGTATAGCTAGATTTTGTGATTATTATATCTATACATAATTATTTATAGATAAATTTAAGTAGCTATACCTATACCTATATGTAACTAACTAGTAATTTGGAAATAAAAATCCTTAAATAAATGCAGAAATGAAATACAGTTTTAACAGTTACTGAGTTTTGTGCATATTGCTATATAACTCAACACTAACGTTTAAATTATGCAATAAACAATGGGATTAAGTACGTGTCATAAGCTTATGTACAGTAATCGAACACTATGATTTATTGATAGTAATTAAAAAGCTTGTCACATTTTATTTTAAAGTTTACTGCTTATTTTCTTACAAAAGTTCCTCACGTTCGCACCCTGCGGCTTAATCATCATCACCACGCAAGCCCAGTGCCTGCTTGTACTGCAGATGCAGTCAAGACGAACGGCTTAACATACTCGTACCATTCGAAGCATGGCGAATCTCCAGATAATATGTTTTTGGTCATCCATCTAATGACAGGCAATTGCAAAAGCGCCTGCCATCAAGCCATCGAGCTCCTCCTGCAAAGGCTTAATATTGCTACTTGCGGCGTGCGGGGAAACTGCAGAGGAGTTATCCTTTGTAGCGGTGTTGAGCTTCATTTTGAATGGAGCGGTCCCACCCTTCCTGCGTCTTCACACATCGTCATCTTCGCGGTCAAACCCACCGGGTGAGACCCATAAGGCGGGCCAATGGCGTAGCTTTCGACTTTGACATGTGCTTGTACAAAGCCTAAACTGAATAAATTAATTCTTAATTTTGAATTTGAGGGAGGCCCAAATGAATGATCTTCGAGCGTTCGAAGGACTTTTCTTCAGGGAGCTTAATATGTGCTAGCGTTGTTCCCTTTCATGGCCACGTTCATTTTCCTGAGGTGCAAGGGATGGGGGCGCGCGCAACTTCCCTACCGAGGCTTTATACGGGCTAGCATTGTTGCCCTTCATGACCTCGCTTATCCTTCTGAGGTGCACGGGGTAGGAGCGCGCAGGGCGCGACGCTTGGCGCTGAACAGTGCTAGCGCACGCAAGTGGAACCGTTCCGCCGTGGGTTAATACGTGCTACCATTGTTGCCCTTCATGGCCACGCTCATCCTCCTGAGGTGCGTGGGATGGGGGCGCGCGAGGTGCGGATGGCGAAGGCGCGCGGGCAGTGGCGGCAAACGCGAGTCGGTGCTGGCGCGCGGCCGGAATTCCTCCGCGCCCTCCGACCGCCCCGACGATGAGGTCGAGTCGCTGCGGCCCACGCTCACCTCCTCCTCCTCCTCGTCCAAATCTACTTCGGTCCAGCGGCGACCTTTAAAATAAGAAAATCCTTTTTATTTAAAGAATACCAAGTAAAGTATCAAAGGAAACAAACGAAAAGTCGGACATAGCGAATTTTAATAAATACATATTTCCACTAATTAGCCTAGCCCCAAATTAAGCAGGCTAATACTAGGGTAACGCATTGAATACATATATAAGTAGGTATATTTGTATACAAATACATATTAAACATCCATGACTACAGTAAAAATGGTCATACACATCACACAAACATCTGCCCCCACTGGGACTCGAACCCGGGACCTCTCCAGTAGGCGACACGACGAAAAGAAGTTTTTTTCCCATGATCAAACCTGCAATCAGTCGTTAGTAAGACTATAATAAGGTTAATTTCAAGATATTGGGGTTTGGCGAAGAGAAACCACTGCTCCGTCTTCGTGTCTTTCCTTAGAAAGTTAGCACATCGGCTCTCTTGAGCCTTCTAGTCGTGTTTGGCTGCAAGAGCATACCGGATAACGGGTTTGGGTTTGTCAAGCGATTCTTATAGCGGGTTGAGTATCGTTTTACTTCGTACAATATGGTTGGAGTTTACATGTACTCGTGGATTTTAGAGTTACGAGCATACCAGGGCGCCGATGAAAGTACCCTTAGAATACTGTTTTGAGCGCTCTGGGGGCTAATGATATTGGATTTGCTGGCTGCCGACCACAGTAGGATTCCATATGTCCAGATTGGTTTTATTATGAAGCAATGCTACTCCATAATAAAGGTATATACCCTTAGCTTGTTGGATAGGGATAAGGCGGACTGTCTACCGAGAAGCCAAAGTAGGTTTTTGAATCTAAGGTTGATTTCGTTACGCTTTATTTTTATATGGTCTTTCCAAGTCATCCTTCGGTCCAGCTAAAATCCAAGATATTTTACGCAGGTTCAATGCAATAATGTGTCAGAGCCCACATTGACATTCTTGTCCACACTTAGAGACGATGAGAGTAAAAGTACATTATCTTTTGAGGTGTTGTTTTCTGTCAGTGAGCAAGGTCCCGGGCTCCACGATGTAGGGGATTGAGTCAGGGTGGGCAACAGCGTGAGTGATAGTTTTGGTATCGCAAGATTCTATGGCAAATCAAGTACAGTTGGCGGCCACCTTCTATCAAGCTGGTCAATTATGCTTATTTTACCACCCTTTTTACATAAAAAGTGCTTGATCAGAGAAATGTAAGAATGCTTTTTTTTTCTTGACGCTGCGTCAGCGTGTTTTGGTGGTGCTTCCAGTTTCCATTTGTTATTGGCTCCATTATCATCGAGCGCCTAGAGCAGACACTGCAAATTAAGGGATCCCGTAATCGTATTTTTTTAACTGTAAGTGAGTTTGTGCGAAGTAAAAATTTTTTTTATTTAATTATTCAAACTTTATTGCCAACATAAGCAAACGGCGGACTTAATGCCATAGGCATTCTCTACCAGTCAACCAGTATGAGTGTTGGAGACAAATATTGTATACCTATTGTGATAGAAATAGATATGGAGCTCTAGCAACTAATATACTCAGATGTAGGAGAAAAAACATATTTTTCACTCGTTTAGGAGATGGAGAAGTAACCTTTATGTTAAAGAAAACTGCAGCTTAATAACAGCAAGACAACAATAAACTTCTTACTTGCTGATATCATTTATTTATAAGGTTTTTTCCAGGTGGGTGGCGAATTCTATCGAAACATTGCTTTCACTTCGCGTAGAATTATAAATAGAACGTACTTGATTTGCTTAAACCCGATATGCGGTACCCTCATCTGTGTCTGACGTCATCGATATAAAACATCCACTCAGTTTATTATTGGTTCTCCGTTATTATACCGAAGCTCCTACTTTTCAACTTTCCAATCAAGTCATAAGTGCCTTCTTCAGCATTTTAAGGTTTATTTATATACCGTTTAACGTCAGACTTGGAGAGTGTTACCAAGTCCCAAAAATATTTACTCCAAAAACCTCTAAATCGATTTACTACTACTCGCTTCAATTTTCAATGCTATTTAACATAAATGTTGCCTAAATAAAACATGAATTAATACCCACAGAAATCAAACCGTGTTGTGTTGCAAGCTATCAATTGACCTCATCTTCAGAGGTAGAATCAGAGGCGGAGCGGGAGAGCGGGTGGCCCAGTATTTACTATTCTCGCATAAGATCTGACACGTGAACTCTGTATATTATCCGTACTTAACAAAATCGCAGCCTAAATAAAAACTTGGAGTGATACCCACAGAAAGGGGTACCGGCTGTGTTGCAAGTGACTCCCTCCTCGGGAGTAGAATCGGAGGCAGCGCGGGAGAGCGGCCGGCCCAGCGCTGTCGGATGCACGTCGGCCGAGGAGTCAGCGCGACCGCGCGTCCATTTACTGCTCACGCGCCAGAACCGACGCGTGTCGCGGAACACACTCCACACCTAGGAAACAGAATTTATTAATGAATCAGTTACCTATTCTTGTTAAAGGAAGACAACACCGACCACTGGGTGGAAAAGTAGGTCCGTTTCACTCGACTCTTGTAATTTAAATAGCTTTACGAATTGATAAGATTGACCCCAAAGAAGTTTAACTAGACGTAGTTGCAATTGTCCAATAGCAAAATTGTAACCTACAACAATGACACTGCCTTAATTTTTCATGCGAACTCCTGGCAACAGACTTATGATTGTGCACTATCTGGTTTATAGTTAGCTCTATTCCTGGCTCATTGACAATGCTCTAACACTTAATGTTGAAACATTAAATATATTCCTTTCTCTATCGGAAACACTGGTTTGTCTGTACATGACTACTATATTAGCAAACTCTTGTTTAACTGCTCATGTAGAGCAATTACTCGAACCTCCGATTTAAATACCTAGGTGTCATAATTGCCATAAAACTAAACTTCAACAGCCATAGGTTCCCCCCTGCTATTATTTATCTGGTCCAGAGTAGGAGAGAGTGGTTATCTGTCATACAGGTTCTCCTAGCGCAGAAGCCAGTCTTTTGCATAGAGTAATGGCTTATTCTTTTTGTAGTAGGTTTTATTTCTTTTTTTATTAATATAAGGTGAGTTTTCAAATGTTACACATCATACGCGACTACTGTAAGGCTCGTTTTTCTATCAGTTTAAACTACTTTAAAAGTTAATAAAGATTTTTGTTACTACGTACTAAGTTGACAGAGAAGTTCCTCTGTTAACTTCAAAGATTATTCTCGCACAAGATATGTAGGTGGTTAGTAATTGTTAGAAGTTTAATTAAACTTTGTAATTAACATTGAATGTCGTTTCTATGTATAAATTATGAAATATAATTATTGTTAACAACCTTTAACAACACAATATTGCGAATTCATAGTTTGTATAAAAATAATAAATAGGTACCTATAACGTTATAAAGTTATTATTACAAGCTCTGCTTAGTTGGAGACTATTGTTGTGAGTTGTTCGGAATCATGATTTTTTATTCTTATCAGAGAGCACTTAAGAAATTCCGTTTAGACATGAAACAAAAAGATTTTGTACTAATTAAATTTTGAAGTAACTGATAAACATCATTTTCTTTTATTCTTATAGCTTCATATTTCTCATTGTTACCTGAAGTCATGGGCGTAGCTAGACATTTTTGTTACAGGGGTTAGTTACGATTGGCACCCTCCCCCAACCCTTTTCTAGAATTAGCATTGCCAAAATCCAACCACCGGGAGCAGGAATTTTAATCGTCCAGTTAAACTTACACTCCATAAGTTATTTTTTTTAATCATAAGAAACTCGATTGCCATCCTGGGAAGATAGAGAGAGAGAAGTGATTTCAAGGGTTAGCATTGCAAAAACTCGTCGCCGCCTAGCTACGCCCATTCCTACAGCGTTGATACGTTATCTCCTTTTTTATTAAACTGTATTATTATAGTTAAAAATTACCTTTTTTTTTTTATAACGCAGGTAAAAAATGCTATTTACAGACGACGGCGCCTTTAAGAGGCACACCGCCGAACGGACCTCACACCTGGCTCCCGCAAGTCTTACGGGCCCCCCAGTGGCTGTCCACCGAGGACCCCGCAACCCTTACGAGCGCTTTACGGCATAATATCCGCTGAAAAAAGTCCTGCGAATACCCTCTAAGCTGCTTAGCGCGAAGCCGCGGGATCCCCGTTTAGGGATTCTTCCGCGTCTCCGCACCTAGCAGCCTCCCGGCCGAGCCGGGGATCCACGGCAGGGGTCTCCCGGGGTATCACGGGGACCCCGCAGACGTGCGCAGGTAGGCCCACGCGTGGGGGCTGAGTACGCGGCCTAATGCCCACCATACCGCCCCCGTCCGCTGCGGAGGGCTACTTGGGCGTGCCCGTGTCCTCTCCTACCCGTCCTCCTTTGGCGGGAGGGAGCGGACAGAGGATCATCCTCCCGCTCCCTCTCGGCCGCTTCCTTCTGCGAGATAGCGTTCTCGCAGAAGGAGGCGGCCGCCTCCCATGCCCTATCGCTGCGGAGCATGGCCTCCACCATGCTCCGCAGCGAGAGGGCATAGTTAAAAATTACCTAGGTATTTAAACTTAAAATTCAAAGTTAAAATAGATTGTTTGTTTTCAATCAAATGTCATATTTTTTAATTGAAAAGCGGTTGAGACATTTTTAAATGTCTTCCTGAGTGGCAACCACTGGAAACAGGCATGTTTGCCAATTCGATACGGGGGGATTGGGGTGCGTTGTTATTGTGCGTTAGGGATGTAAGTCTGCCGGCTTTCTTGGCGTCGCCGTCGGCCTATGCGGTTTCGGGCCTTGTCGTTAATATTTTGTCTATGAATGACGCAAGGTGACCGTACCCTTTGCGGCCGATGCTTTGGCAGCCTGGTTGGCTCAGGTCACGGGCGCGGCCGCGCCTAGGAACCCCGAGTTCCAGCACTAATGGGCTAACGTAAATTGTAAAGCGACACTTGAACAACTTACTGGTGGTGCCACGGGAATCGGTGTCAGCACTTTCGCGCACACGCGCAGTTGGGGCGGCGCGGCTAAGCATAGGCGGCGGCGAAGCGCTTTAAATATTCCCCGTTAGGGCAAGAATATATTTTTGTGCTGACAACTGCAGATGTAGCCGGGACCAACGGCTTAACGTGCCTTCCGAAGCACGGAGGAACTCGAGATAGAAGATTTTTGGTCACCCATCCAATGACCGACCACTGCGAAAGTTGCTTAACTTCAACAATCGCAGCCGAACGCGCTTAACACCCACGCCATCGAGTTCCTCTACTTAATTTTACCAAATGAAATGTATTGAAAGGATAGCGAAGGGTGGTTAGTATTGGATTAATTAACTCAAAACTTTAACATTCAGTCCTTTAATCCGATCCAGTTGGTAAATTTGAAATCTAATTTTATTTTAATGTATTCATTTTCTCAGTAAGTCGGTATTCATCTAAACTTCTCAACGTTACCCTTTAATAATCACCAATAATGGAATTTCGATTTATAAGCCTTTAATGAAATTGCTGCATCAAAAAGAATAGGAAACTTAATATATTAAATTGCATTTATACACTTCTGGACACATCTATTGGCCCACCTTAGAGTTTAGGTTTCGATGGCCCCTACCGAAATATGATTGCTAGATTGAACAAAAACTGTTGATGCAGTTTTAAACCTGATACATTTTACCATCTTTTTCGATAGTATTGTTTTAAATTTGAATTCAGAATACCATACGACATGGAGCTCCGCCTAACAAGTCGGATATGCGCCTTGTTAAAGGCAATTGATTTTTGAATAAAAAACATGTTTTATCAAATAAAGGTTTAATTTAATAACGCGTGTTGCCTTCATGGGCATCTACCCCAGCTCTCATACTATTAGGCATAGAGTTTATCAACCGCTCTATGAAATTTTGAGGGTTCATCTCCCATTCCTCTTCTATGGCAGTTTTCAACTCCTGCATCGTCTGGGCAACTGGCTGACGAGCCCTAACACGTCTTTTTAGCTCGTCCCACATGTGCTCAATGGGGTTCATGTCTGGGCTTCTGGCTGGCCAGTCCATAACTGTGATGTTCACATCCCAAAGATATTCCCTGACGATGCCGGCCGCATGGGCTCTTGCATTATCATGCATAAAAAGGAAATTTGGGCCCACATAGTCCGCGTATGGTATCACGTGAGGTTCTAAGCACTCACGAATGTACCTTTCAGCATTTAATGTTGGCAGCCGTGGTCCTGTAACAACCTCAACTTGAGTTTTGCCGCTCGCGGATATACCGCCCCAGACAGTCCATGAGCCACCGCCATAAGCAACCCTCTCTTCAAAGCAGCATTGTGCAAAACGCTCTCCCTGACGTCAGTAGACCTTCTTCCTTCCATCATTGCCATGTAACACAATTTTAGACTCATCAGAAAAGAGTACACGGCTCCAATCTTGCTGTGTCCAATTTAAATGACTGCGTGCGAAATGAAGGCGCGCTGTTCGGTGGGCTCGCGTTAGTTTGGGCCCATTAGCTGGCTTGTGTGGCACCATATCGCGTTCTTTTAACCTTCTCCGAACAGTTCGAGCGCTCACAGATACTCCGTGGAAGTCGCGAATTTGTTTTTGTATCTCAATGGAGGTAAGGTGACGATTTCTCAAGCTGGTCGTCACGATGAATCGATCCTGCCTTTCAGTTGTGACCCGAGATCGTGGCCTTCCTTGGCGACGAACAAAGCCGCCAGTCTCTAGGTACCTCCGATAAACATTTCGGACCGCAGATCGACTTAAATTAAGTTGAGCACTCACGTTTCTTTGGCTGTGTTCGGCCTGAATAAGTGCCACAGCTTGGGCGGCGACTTCAGGTGAAGTATCCATAGATTATTGATAGAACCTCACCTTAATGTTAAGAATAAGTAATGTTTGTTGCAAAACCAAAGATATCAATCACTTTTTCCACAATTAAATCCAAGTAAACCAATAAAACCAAGTTTTCTTAATATTCGATTGTTTGATATCAACAAACAGGCTCCAAATTGTCTTTTGTTTCTTTAAATTCTGTGTTCGAAATTGAAAAAAGACTATTGAATGAAATTGTGAATGTGCCAGGTTCAAAACTGCATAAAAACTTTTTGCTCGACCTAATATAAAATTACATTACAAGGTGGGCCAATAGATGTGTCCAGAAGTGGATTTATAATGATACTTATTGCTTTACTAGAATGTGGAATAATTTATTTATTTATGATTTATGTTTATTAAATATTTAAGTTGTGTGTTGCATTTAAATTTGTTCCATTTAGGCATTTTTTTAAATTAATAACCGAATAGGTAGGATAATATTTCAATAACATTATTAGAGATAGAAAATGTATAAGTATTAATTTATACAAAGAAGTCGAAGCATTACAAAAATCTAATCGTACTTAATATTAAAGAAGTTGTAACTGTTGAAAATTTAAATCTAGTTTGTTTCGTCTTTTCGACTTCTATAG